TTGTACCCGTAATTGTTTATACCACGATGTTAACGAGAGAAGTCAGAAGTTATCCTAGATTACGACGGCGAAATGTTGTGAAGCGCATATAAAACTGTCTTACCCGATTCAGTTACTGATAGCGCGATAAGAAAGTCGAAGCTCAGGTCCCTGTAAACATGTTGGTCGTTGTTATACGCTGCCGAATTGAATTTATGACTGGGATAACTGGGTCGACCCGCAAACTGCTTGAGACGCGGTGGTAATGATACTAAACAACGGTTTAGGGTGCATGAAACATACAGATCGTAAATTTCCTGGGGCAACTTAAAAAATGCACCGCTTCATTTCATTACTAAGGTGTTTTAAACGTTTCTTACATGTGCAAGAGTATAACACTGCGTCGCAAAATGATGGAACAAAATTCATATTTTTTTCCAGTTCAGATTTTAAAAGATCGCTGAAACAGGTCAATTAGTAAATTTAAATTGTTACTTTTCTGCAATATATTCTATTTTTTGGGACTATAACAATGCGGACATTTTTTTAATAGGAAGCTCTATATAAATATAAATGGATCTCTTATAAAGACAAATACATGGCATTTTCAAGAGCTAGAAACTTTCACGACGTAGATCTATGTCCGGAAGGGTATAGAAGTAGAAGGGATGTAGAAGGGGTATCAACCCCTTCGAGGGAAGCCCTTGGTAGTAATAGATGAGAGCAAAATGCCCATTCATACTCCTTTATTTAAGGGATGTTTTTAGCCCTGCGCAAAAATATAAGGGGTACGCGAATTTTTTTGACCTCAGATCCGGATTCAGAGCTGAAAAATATATAGAAATACCGTGGTCAGTCATCCAGATCACGACCTTTTTTTTGTGGGACTTTGTCAATATACCGGGTGATTCAGGATACCAGGATGATATTATTAGGTCGTCAAAATTACTATAGTTAATGTTTCTGTTCAAATGGTACACTATAATATCAATTCTGGATATTTTTCTTCTGCATTCAGCTATATGAGGAAGTCTATAGTTTCATTAGAAATATTGCTAGAAAAACAGCAAAAAAGATGAACCCTACTTTCAGTAGCTTTATTATGAAAAATGATTGCCAGCCGCGGAAACAACTGAATTTTGTCGTTTCTAAATAACGGTTTGTCAAAATAATTGACATTTTGTACCTACATATTCTATCTATAACTAATGATCACATGAATACTTAAAATAACCAAGAAAAACTAGATATGATTTTAATTTATGGAGATTGCCGAAAGAACGCTAAAGCTGCCAGGCATTTGTACCAACATCGTTTCCCGCAGAGACAACTTCCATCAGATAAAATTTTTGGAAAGTTAGCCAGGAATTTGGCGGCAGATGAAAGTTTTCAAAATAAATGAAAAGTTTTTAAACTCAGAAGGGCAAGAGATGAAGAACATTCGATAAAGATATTAAATGGCATGCTAGATCTCCGGATCTCACTCCTATAGATTTCTTTCTTTGACCTTACCCAAAAGAAAAAAACATAATAAGAATAGAATATCGGAGATTAAATGAAGAAACACTAGAATGTGTTTGTAGAGAGAGAGAGAGAGCTATTCTGTATTTGGGAACAAATGGAAGTCATTTTGAACATTTGAAATAAGTATTGTACTTTAAAAAACATAGTAGCTTGTTTCCGCAGCTGGCTATTATTTTTCAGAATAAATCTACTAAAAGTAGGGTTCATCTTTTTTGCTGTCTTTCTAGCAATATTTCTAATGAAACTATAGACTTCCTTACATAGCTGAACGCAGACAAAAAATATCTTCCAGAATTGATTAAAAAATATATAGAGGTTGTTATAGCTATTTGTTAAAATAAAAGAGATACAGGGACGCGAATACCAAACTGCATCACCCGATATAAAATTAATAACAAGGTTTAAAAAACTAAAGTTCAGTTATTTTCTAAACAGACCCGTATGTACATTTAAAATCTTTTGAACTCGACAACAGTACATTTTTGACAAAAACCTTTCAATACTTCCAACAGAGGCATTATTAACCTTCCTTCCCTCCGACATATAGAAATTTCAATCACGACAAAGCCGCTTCCTCAGATACTAATACAATAAACCCTGTTACATCTTTGAATATATCCTTTTACATCAAAACTTCATTTTGTTGATTTAGTTTTATATGTCAAAGGTAGATCCCATCGCGAAAAAATTGATTAAGTCGGCCGTACTAGGCAGAGTCAATCTCCGTGTAGGAGGCGGCGTTTTGCATTCAGATGGCTGTGTTTTCATTTTATTCCCTGATTTTTATTACGTTTACGACTAAACGAAATAGGAACTCATTTCGAATCAGATTCTGTAGCAGTAGTTACACTGCTGCAAATTTCCGTACACGATGTAGAAGGAAAACAATGCGTTGATTGGGTTTACACTAACCTTTTGAATAGAAATATACCAACAAAGAACAACATTGCGTGGCGAAATATAAAACTCCATCTACAGTACGTCGCACGAAACAGAACACGCCATCTATTGTTCACCGTTCCCAATTTTTTATCTTTTAGCCACGGCACGCCATGTTTTGCCCGACGATAATACTGTTTAGCAGTTTTAAGTAATGTTTACGAACTTTTCGAGATGTATATACAATTACAAGGTAATTTTTCAATCAATAAAAGCAAACGCGGCTCATTCGGATTCCCCATTGACCGAAACTTCTTTCCATATCCAGAGACATATTTAATAGACTTAATTCCGACTGCATTTGTTTCGTTTTTCGCGCTTTCGCGGGAACTTTTCCGGGAACGACGCAAAAGTAATCAAGTTAAAACCTCACTTCGAATCTGAATCCTTAAATGGACTTCACATTATTTATTCATAACTTCGAAATCAAGAAGTCGTAGTTGCTTATGGTCGATATCGGAGTTCTTTTTGCCATTTGGGAATCAAAGGAAGTTTAAAAGTATACGCATTTGGATTAAAAAACAAACAAACGAGTCAGCGGCCTAAATCCGGAAGGGTTCTTGCAAGAGAAGGGGCGACGTATTAGTATTTTACACTATGATGATTTAATATGAAATTTAAATACAGTTTTCTCGTGTTAAAAATTTGTTCTTGTATATATTCTGTCAGACCTGAAATATTGTCTCTAAAACAGATCTGTGTAGAAACCACTGTGGCAATTTAATAGTTTATGACTTTAATACACTGATATTTAAATTAAAATTAAATATAAACCAAGTCTGGGTAAAAAATTAATAATATAATAATAATTAAATTTAGAGAAAAACCCAACTGTTAATTGGTTTTACATACTCAGAATAGAGTCAAAAGTCACTCATTTGATAGTTAGCAGAATTGAGTAAAATTCACTCACTTCTATTGCAATAGTTTCACTCATAAAATTTTAGTTGTATTCACACTAATAGAGTGAAAATTTCACTAAATCGGATGTGGACAGAAATTGATACATTATTGAAAATTGAGCGAAATTGAGTGAATTTATTTTTACACTGTAACTCTGATTTTAGTTTTATGAGTTTTCAATAATATCTTGGAATAATAAAATTATCATGCACCAAAAATTAACTTGCTTTAGTTATTCTGTAAATAGATGTTTAAAGATGAAATTATTAAATATTTTGATACACCTTATTTTCACTTTGTTTCCTCTGTATATCTTTTGTTCAATGCTGTGTAAAATCTTAGCATTTGTTTTCAATGTTTCAAAATTATATTAATATAAAAATAGATGCGTTTTATACTGTTGAAAAAAATAAAAACTTTTTGGTCGCATTTTTCTCCAATATCTTTTTCGATTTTCATTTCTCGATAATGTCGATTACAGGAATCGATTGCCGGCATTTTTACGCGAATTTAAAAAATACGTTGCTCTACGACCTTCTGGAGCCGAGATAATGTATTTTTCAAAAAATTCGCGCGTTCAAAAGCCCTCTTACTTTCAAAATCTTCATTATCTCGACTTTTGGACCACGTACAATAATCCTTTTGTACTTAATCTGGGATAGCTCGACGAGATAAACCAAAATATTACGTTTACGACGGCCTCAAAAGCATAATTACCTTGGAAAAATGTAATTTTCCTTTAGTCTAAAATTCTCTCACCTCTTGTTAACATTTTAATATTCATTTATAACAAAAAATTTCGCCATCATAAAATTTTCACTTTCCTTCAGGTTTTATTATATTTTAATTATTTTTATAACTTATTACTGAAATTATATGAGTTACAGTACTTGACACAATTAATTAGATATTTTAATAGGGTTGTTGACCAAATTTCAAAAAGTAGATAATATAATTCTACACGTACTAACTAGTGTGTATACACAATTAGAGATTGAGAAATGCGTCAGAACAGTTTTAAAATAATTATTTAAAACTGATTTTTTTATAACATTTCAAAACGGCTGTGACGTCATAATGGGCATCTTGTAGTGAAATTATGTGTAAATGATTGCATAAAGGAAAAAAAAAAGTTCGAAGAAGAAGACTTTCTGTCAACGCTGTCAGTAGAGTCAGTGACAGTCTCAGAGTAATAAGTAAAGGGGAGGCCGCATTCCCTATTTCAGTACACAATGTAAACATGTAACCTCAACCTATTGTATGTTGATAAACAAATGATACATAAGTAAACACAATGGTCCTTGGTACAGTGGCGTACCGAGTTTAGGTTTAAAATCTATCATAATATAAGGAAACCATAAAAATTACACTTTTTAATAGAATAAAATCAGAAGTGCTCGATTATTTAAGCTTTCATGTGTAATAAATAGACAATAAATAGGAAAAAGTTAATGGTTTCTTCAAAATCTATAATTAATATTTTAAAAACATTTCCAGAACAAAAGAGTGACTAAAGAAAACTCCTCGATTGAAACTATCATTATACTATAGCTATAGCAATGTCATTGCCTACTATTAATTCTATTATTTCATAGTAGTTCTCGATTACTGGAAGAACATTTATTAAAATAAATAATTTAAATAAAACTACAAGAAAAGGAGCAAAAATATATTTAATTAAAATCTGCTGGAATATAAACAATGCAAAGAAAACAAAACATATTTGTACTAAAAGTAACGGAAAAATGAATTTACATTGAACAACATTTAATCGTATGGGAAAATAAGCATGTTTTAAATGTACGCAACAAAAATAAGCTGAATTTTGAGCTCATAACATTGACAGCTCGTCTCTTATGGAACAGGGACAACATGTGATTGAAGATGTTTTATAGCAACATCTATAAAATTTCCTTCACTGGCAATTTCTCGAAGAGGGAACCTTTGAGACGGCACAACCATTTCATCAACACTGTGCTAAAACGTATTACCTTCCAAATGTTGTATTAATAGGCACAGCTCCATGTGTGAGACATCGTTTTCCAGTTACTGTTACCTTAATATCTGTAGCACGGAAATGCTTCGACAGACATAATTATCCTTTGAAAAATCATATTCAGATATGGCGAAATTTTCTAGCCACACTGCTCGTATCGCAGGATCTTATGGTATTCTACAAATAAACACAGAGCTAGTGTCAGTATCAAAATACAAACATAATAAATTAACAAATAAAATACTTAGGACACCTTACACCCTTGTAAGAACGCCCATGGAAACAATGTCAAACTTACTTGTGAAAAGAAGTAGCACATATTTGGCTCTTTTCCTGTAATTGTCGGCATATTATACGCCGCTTTGGCATTTTTATTGAAATTAGATAAAAAAACAGTTTAAAAAGACACAAAACACTGAACTCGGTTAATATCTATTTCACAACAATAGACTGTAATAATGGCGTCCCCTTTAGAACCGTTTAATACCAGGCAATGATGCCACTTACGGCGTTTGTATTGCTAGGAATTTCAATAATGTATTTTTTTTTTCAGATATTCAAAATCTATAATTATAAAACAAGTTGCAAGAAAATAGTGTCGTAGTCTTATGCATATTACAATGTAACTAATTTGTAAGTCGAGGTCAAGAATGAGGTAGATCCTTGTACGATAATCAATTAAAATGACCGCTGTACCTAGCTATAAAGATAAAAATGTAACATTGGCATCAATGTCAAGAACATCACAAAGTACCAATGTTCGTAAATACACATATGTCAACACTTCACTATCGAATGTAAATAAAGGCGTCCCCTTTATTTATTAGTCTGAGGTGACAGTGACACTTCCATAAAATATTTTCAAGTTTAATTAAATCAGAATGTGTGAAACGGGATTTGTGAAAGCTACTTCGCAAATTTTACCGAAAATAGATATATTTATGATCAGTGAATTTTTAAAAAAAGACGACCGTTTTAATATTGGCGAAATCAGAGGTACAAAAGCAGTCAGGTAAGGATCAACATATTTAATGAATGATTTTATTGTTACTTTATTGTTATTATTATTTATTACGTCTATACTAATTATTTTTTTGAGCAAGGATTTTTGTACGTGGTCCAGAAGTCGAGATAATGAAGATTCTGAAAGTAAGAGCGCTTTTGAACGCGCGAATTCAGTTTTCGGAGCCTCCACTCCGCCGCCTATTACCATTAGTTCGCGCCGCTCGCGGCCTATAGAATTTTTGGAAAAAAAAAATTATCTCGGCTCCAGAAGGTCGTAGAGCAACGTATTTTTTAAATTCGCGTAAAAATACCAGCAATCGATTCCTGCAATCGACATTATCGAAAAATGAAAATCGAAAAAGATATTCAAGAAAAACATTCTAAAATTCCCAAACAAAGGATAAACTTTTTTCAGTATATACTTTATATTTTATTTCTAGCGGTTTCGAGACACATGCCCACGACACACGCCAGAACCGTAAACACACTTACTTAACGTAGTTTATTACAAAGTTTCAATAAAAGATCCAGCTCTAGCCGCTCTACGTTCACCGAATCAACAAGTAGCGGCACGTAACAAATTTATATTGTGTACAGAGTACTTACCGAGTATTTGGCCAACTAATGTGTTTGAACACACGCGTACATCGAACTCGATGCAATTCACCCACCCGGAATGGTTCGATACAGAAAAACGCTCTATTTGTCCCGCTAATTTTCAGTAATTCCATGAAGAACGTCAACGATTTTTGTAGGGGTTAATTAAAAGTTTATTTCAATGCAAATACACGAAATTATTGAAAATTTTACTCGAAAGGGGATCATGCGTCGATACGGACCGCTACATCTAAAGAAATCTAAAAATGATGTAATCTATAGCTCTAAACAAATTAAAATCACTAGTCGAAAAATTTCTGAATTAAGAAACGAAGAAAAATTTGAAAATATTGCTGGATTAAGTAAACGGGGCAAAAGTTGCGACGAATTAGAAATATTTTCGAAATATATTTCCCCTTAATTAAGTGCCTACTCGTTTTGGGAATTTACATGATTTAAAATTTTTTACTATAATAGATTCCTCAAAATTTCCCGAAAAATAGTTTGAATGTTTATTACAAATGTATCCAAACGTTTTTGAAATAGATAAGTTGAAAAACGAACTTAATATTTTGTACGACGAACAATTTTGTAATTTAGAAATTCAAAAAACATAGAAATATTATACAAGGAATTTAAAATGGTATTTCCGGAAACATACAAATAATTTCGATGACTGTCAGAAATATGTACCTAAGTGGGTATAACTCCAAAATTCGATAATATTTTGTGTTCTTTACTACAGTTCTGAATCGCAAAACTGTCCCAACCAAAGTATGTACACAGAACGCTTATCAAATACAAAGGTAAGGGTGTATCTTCCACTTACCTTGACAGGAAAATTTTCTGCGCCCCTCGTATTAGAGTGTGACGTCCAAATAATTTCTCCTCGCCACATATTCGTCCGTAGACCTCTTAGAACCTCGCTTGGTATCCTGGAAGTCATCCAAGCCGTGAAAGGCAGGAGGATTTTGTTTTAATTAAATAATAAATTAGGTGCACCGTTAATGCACACTGCAGTGCATATTACGCTCGATGCTGGTCGGGCGCGGTAAATTGGAGCTGGCGCCCCTGCAAAGGAACCGCCACCACATCAAGCTGATGAAAGGTCGATGTGGGTTGCAGTCTCTTATTAATAGCACGCGTATTTTATGTTATGTAGTTCCTTGCCCTTGTCTAAGGCTTTCTACAAGATATATCGCTCAATGTTACCATAAAAACTTAATATACGGGGTGATTCACAAATGGTGACCAAAAATGAAACCTCGTATTCTTTGGTGAATTTCTTTCCTATAAAGTCACTATCTAGTTACAATTATCTAGTAGGTCAGTGTTGACATTTAATAGACGCTGATCGTTACTATTACCATTTATTAGAAAAAAATCTGTGATTTATGTTCAGATTCTGACCATATACCGAGCGATATCTAAGAAGCGGCAAGAAATGCCGTATGTTCACTGATTCCTGAAAAATCCAAAGCGGTAAGTATATGACTTGGCTTATGAAAAATTTGAGAAATAGCGTGAACAGAGGAAAGTAAAACACGTCAATGAGAAAGTACTACTGACATATTTTGAAGGTAAGAAGAATTTGAAGGCTTCTACGCTATGGACACAGTACTCCATGTTGAGAACTGAACTGTCTTTAAAAAAAGGTATAGACATTAAAACATACAATAGTTTGATAGCATTTTTGAAAAGGCATTCTGATGGATACCACGCTAACAAATCAAACGTTTTTTTCAGAAATAAGTATTGCGAAGTTTTTGACGGAGGCGGATGACAATAATCTTTTAATGGCTGAGGTAACCAATAATTGCTTCATTTAGTTGTCAGTTTACTAATTCGCATTTTTTGCTTTTGGTTGTGTCGGTCGTGGGAATAGCCGGTGCATGTCGGAAGTCAGAATTAACATCTTTACCTGTTGAAGATGTTACAGATTATGAGACGTATTTTCGAGTAAATATTCCAAATACA